ACGATAGATTAGTTGCAGTCCAAAATATATGCAATGATACAGAGAGTTTAATATTGCCCAATACGCGTATCAATCAATAGATGGCGCGACCTGTGATGCTAAACTTTTCCGATTCGGTGTGTTTTGAAACATGTAAGAGAGAGCATTTGGAATGGAAGGAAAATCTGCGTCACTCATTCCTGCATTCCACTACTCATACGGTGGTTTATTTTAAATTATTTCTTCATTTCTATCGATCATATGTTTTTATAATTAGCTACTACATCGGCCTAGCTACCTCTCGTAACAAACATCTTTTGCTCCCTCTGGATTTATGCTATGTAGTTAATGAGCCAGGTAGGTGTTTCATTACCAAATTAAGAATACATTGTGGGCGATGTCAAATCGAAGGTTTTTTTCATGGACATTACAAAACTACATGATAGCATTGTCAATCTGATGGCTTTCACTATGAATGTTAAAATATATGGTAAATATAAACTAATTAGGAAAACTTTCGTTCTTCTGGCAGTAATAACATATTAAATGCTTGAAAATGTAGATCGCCCTGAATATTTCATTAGTTAACCTTTTCACTGCTAGAAATCAATTTATATATATCACATTTAGCATATGTAACTTAAATACATTGTGAGTCGAGTGCCCTAACCATTAAGTCATATCCAGCCTCAGATGGTCAAGACGAAGATATGTTAACCCACTACTCGTGCAAAACACATGTACAAATGAAGTTTGTAGGTTGTTGGCTGAATTTAGTGTGTAACAATACAAAGAATATATCAATAGTTAATCCTTTCACTGCTAGGAATCAATATATGTCCCACATTTAACATAATTAGCTAATTAATTATTCATAAGACCCATATCGTTGTTCCAGTTGATAATACACTGACAGAAACGTATGAATTTTGCATATATTTTTACATTATTTGAATTGGGATGATATTTTCAATTAATTAGTTGAAAATAGACGTTTTAAAGTTGTTTATGTAGACGTATAAATTAAGTCATAATAGCTTTAAAAAGTCTTACTTTGATAATAGTTTTAATGGAACAAAATCATCACTATAACGACTGAATGCTAACATCCATATAATTCTGCTCACTAAATTCATCATGTCGCAGATAATAACAGTCAACAACAGTATCGTCTTCTCCACTACAACGAATAAATGAAATAAAATTAAAGCAAGAAGAAAGACAGCAAAGTGCAGAAAATGACGGCAATCATGTTCCTCAAGTTTTTCCAGCAAATAAAAAAATACCAGATAATACTTGCATTATTCGTTTCTCAAATGTAAATGACACAATTCATCTTCATCCTAAAGATATCCCATCATGGGCAGAACCTATTACAAGCTTCAAAGATCAGAGATCATGCCACACTTCTTCAATTTAATGAAAGCACTCCGAAGAATTAACTTCTACCACTGTGCCTGCAGAAGCAGCTTTACACTGAAGAGAGATTTAAAAGTTATCCAGAAGAATGCACAAGAACAAAGTAGAGTAGAACAGTTTGAACCATAGAGTGGGAGGCCAGATCGACAAACATCAACTGCTGCAAGAATATGTGATAAAATATACATATTTTGTAAATGAAAAGTACCTAAAAGGACAAAAGACCAGAGAGCCACTGTTATTTTGAACAAAGTAAAGGTCTGACATCACAGTCTGACAATGTGCCGTTGAAAAACATGACAGTAAGATTCTTTGTTATGTTACAGGAGATATTGTTGCAGGCAGAAGCGTATTACCATAGATTTTGCTATCACGACTATTCAAGATCATAAGAAACGAAAAACAAATGTACCACAACTATAGATCCTGAAGATACCACATACAAATGGCCGAGAAGAATGCATATGAATGTTCATTCAAATTCTTCATAAATGAAACCATATCGAAACAAAAGATTGAGCTGATGAGCACTTTAACAACCAGGCTTATAGAATACATTAAATCAGAAAGTGTTCAAGCCATCAAGCAGTCTACAAAGACGCATTTATGCAGGAATATTCGAAATGAATTTCGCCGTTTTCTTCACATCGTTTCACGTGAAAAAAGCAAACTGCTTGTTTTCCCGAACAGCTTAACAAAGCACGACCTTCTAATAACAAATCACAGAATCTATCAGAAACTTGATTCCATCAAAAAATCATTTTTTGATGGAAATATAAGTCTTAATTATATAGTGAGTTATCTAAGAACAAGTATTAAGAAACGATATGATAATCAGCAATGGCCTTTTCGGCCAAACAACATAACCTTAAAATATTCAAATATTCCTCTTCCTTTGAAAAGGTTCCAATTCTATCTGCTCACTGGTGAAGATGTACCAAAGACAATATTTGAGAGAACGGTTCTACTTGTTGTTTCGTTCTCACAAAGTATAGCATATGCCATCTCGTCGAATAGTTGTTGTTTGTTTTAGAGCAAAGCCACATTGAGCCATCTGCTTGCTGTCTTCACCTCAGGAAATCGAACCCCGGATTTTAGCATTATAAGTCTGTAAGCTTAGCGTGACTCAGCGACGGACCTCATGGAACAGAAGATGCCAAAGTATGTCCCACCTGTCAATGCCATACAGACACTCACTAATAACACCGAGCTTATACAGTCTCTCAACAGACTTGAACATGGGATTTCCTATTTACGGTTTTGTGCTTTAAGAAAGCATTTGGCATGACATGTGGGTAAGTTCTCCTTCCTAGTAGTTTTAATCCTCAGATCTTCACAACTATGACAGAGTAACGAGGAACATGAGGATATTAGTAATTCCGATTAAGACGATTTAGATGATAATAAACTCTGGAAAGCTCCTCACAAGTACATTACTATAAAACTGTCACTATGTGACAAGTACATTACCATAGAACTGTCACTATGTGCCGTCTGCGTGTTGTATTTTGGATGTGCCTCCTCATTTACGATACTCTTTACAAGCCAAATGTAACTAATGCCTAACAATCTCACTGCATGTTTTTAACTGTATACATCAAAAGTATTTCTTGTAGACTAAACAAGTATACATTATTTGAGTAGCGTTTAAATGCTTAAACACGTTGTTAATTGGATTCATATATTGTTACTTTGTTTATTAGGTTGTAGCAAATGTTTGTGTTTAATTTGAATGTTTTACATTATCAAAATAAATGGGTGTCTTGTTTTCATAATCGACAGATGGTAAAGTTTATTTGCTTTGAATTTCAATTTTGCTCAAAATTACTCAAGCGCTAGCTGTCTCTAATTTTGATGTGATAGACTAGAGAGAAGGCAGCTAGTTAATTCCACTCACCGCCAACTCTTAGGCAACTCTTTTACCAACGAACAATGGGATTGATTGTCACACTATAACCTTCCCACAGCTGAAATGACGAGCATGTTCAGTAACGGGATTCTAAACCGCAATTGCATATTGCGAGTCGAGTGCCCTAACTGCCAGGCCATACCTGGTCTCAGATGGTCAAGAAGAATATACGTTAAACAACCTATTACTCATGAAAAATACGTGTATAAATGAAGCTAGTAAGTTGTAGACTAAAGTTGATGTGTAACAGTATAAGTGCGCTTACTTAATAGCCTTCAGAAAGAACTTTAAGTGAAGCAGATATCGCTAAAATAGGCATACGCTTTGTATAACATCCATTGAAAAGTTTGGTTATTTTTTAATGAGGGGACTGTTGAGAATGATAATGTATCATAGTTATTTCCATTTTAGTAATTTTCATTTCTAAACAACAAGGTATTTATGAAGAGGAGTAATTACATTCAAAAATGACAAAATACACTAAAAAAAACTTACTGGGAAGCACTTAATGCAGATTATCTGAGCCTTTTTTGAAACTGAGTCGTTTTTGGATAGCCCAGTACTCGATAGTGATTCTAAAGTATCAAGTGTGCTATGCTATCATATAATTTATTATTCCAAAATAAGTACCATTCATAACAATATTGATAGCATTTGCTTCTTGAGAGATAATGATCAGCCAAAATTTGGTCTCTGGCTCATACACTAATAGCTGAAACATTACACAATGTACACATATTTTAAAAGTGTTGAGCACAGTTAAAATTGTCAATTATTATTATTAGTTTGTTATGATTGATTACTGTTTGGAAGAATGTGATGGATATTAACCCTGTCAGATCATTTTTAACTTAAAATAATTAAGTGTAAGGAAATAATATAATAGAATTTTAGGTTATATTTACATAAATATTGAATATAAGTCTAAAAAAGTTATAATTTCACTATATATAGAACACTGCTTAGGCTTAATTTGGGTGGGTGTGGGTGTTTTCTTATAGCAAAGCCACATCGGGCTATCTGCTGTGTCCATCGAGGGGAATCGAACCTCTGATTTTAGCATTGCAAATCCAAAGACTTACCGCTGTCCCACGGGGGGACGGCTTAATTTGAAGTATTGGGTTCAGTCTTTGGATCCTTATCGTAAGAAGGATACTAAATTCTTAGAAAGGCTCAAAAGAGAACTATTGAGGTGATACCTGGGATGGAAAGTCCGTCATACGAGGATTAGAGGGTACCTAATTAAGCTATTGTTAGTGTCGATGTTGTTGTTTTTTCGTACTTAGTGGTGAGAATGGTAGGAGAAAGGGATACAAATACAAATTTTGGCTGGATATAAGATATCTTCATCTAAGACAGTTTTACTTTTCTGACAAGGCGGTTAACTTTCGAAATGGGTTGCCTTCGCAGGTAACTGATGCAGTAAATGTAAGGAAGTTTTTCAAGGAACTGTTTCATAAATATTTAAATGATAAGAGCTGGTTCTAAGTATTTTACTTGTTTTTAAAGCTTAGTTCAGTTTAGTGAATGGGACAACTGCTGTGGACCAACAGGCCCTTCATTGTCCTTAAATGTTATGTCATAGTATATGGCATATTCTCACTCAAGAATATACTGAATTGAGGAGTTACACAATTTTAATTACATTAGTGCTTCCATCTGATGGCCATTGTTCGTATACCCATGATGCTTTCCAAAGGCGTGTACTTCTGACAAAATGGCTACCGATTATGACGAGCCAATATCAGAGCAGGAAAAGGTATGCTGTGATGGATTCTAAAGCTTTGTTACTTTTGATAATTTTTAAAACTATTTCCAATCGTACGTTGAAATTTAATTTATTTCTTTGATTTTTTTAATGTTTTGCAGGCTCGAGAGATTTCCAAATTACTTAATGTTAGGGAACATCCGTTCTAACGTAACACTAACGTTTTAAATGAGTAACATTAGTATTAGTAACACTAACAAGTAAAAAATAATATACACTAAGTAACTGGTGAGTCTTAAAACTGTAACGAAAGTAACATTTCTGTTTCTAACGTTATTTGTAGCTGCTACTTCAAGCTCTAGTCTACGTTATTAGGCTTAGTACTACTAATTATATTTAGTGTAATTATTAGTATAGATAACTTACGTAATATTAATAAATATCACTCGGGTAATACTAGTACTACTACTTATACTTTGTAGTAGTAGTGTAAGTAGAACACTGCAGTTGATGTTAATTAGGGTTAATGGTTAGTTATAAAGTTCTTTGCAGGTACGTGGTTTTCAGCTGCAATATAGTTTTTATCTCATTTTCTTTATTTTTAAAATGACTTGGAATCGACCATATATTCCTATACATATAATTTTAGAAATCTAGCCTTATCTTTCAAATTAGTGTTAAAGTAATTATTAAACATTTTATGATGAATATCAGCTGGTGTTATTCATTAATAAAAAAAAGTGATTCAGTTTTGTTTGGTATACCAGTTTCCTTGATTTTTTTAGCAAAATTTAAAACACTGGATCTGCTTTTCTTTTTTATTACTTACATAATCCTTAGATTTAACCATAAATTTACCACATTGTAAAGACTTTTTCAATTGATCAAGCCTTTTGTGGTAGCAGTTGAAAAACGAGTTATTAAACTTAGCTGGATGATGTTACTAGATGAACACACTTGAAAATAATAATAATAATAATATATATATATATATATATATATATATATACAGATATAGATATTTAGAGCTATTTCATCTGTGAGCAGGCTCATGTTCTCTGAATTTTAAAGAATAATATGAAAAACACAAAGTGACAGGTTACTATTCGCCATCTTTTATACACCTTCATATACATATACAACAAAAGTTTGAATTAATTCAAAATAACTGTATACTACACAATAACAGGTGGGTCATTACACAAGTTTATAACTAACTTTGTAAAATGGCTTTAATAACAATTTATCTGAGCTTCCAATACTTAAACCTATTACCTCTGATAATATTCAAGCTTCTATTTACGATCTTTTCACAACTCAGACCACCCTTGGGTATTGCGTAAACTACTAACAATTTTTAACAACTGAATAAAATTTCAAATTTTTCTATAGTGTAGGGAAAACTAGTTCAAATTGTAAGCCTCTCATCACAGACTTTTAACATAAAATTTGGGCAGCTTTGGACCATTTGGTCCTTCAAGGCTCTCGTTTTACCCCCACTATGGAGAAAATAAAAATATATATATATACCCACCATTTATTTTTCATAAAATCATATTTCTTCTCCTAAAATCCTGTAAAATACTTATGTTCACTACTGCTGACAGCAACTTGTTACAAAAGACAAACATCCTGTTGGAAAATAAAACTGTCTTAACCAGAGCCTAGTCTTTTCCAAATGTAACCCTGTGTGTGCAGGTGGGGTCAAAGTACATTTTCCACAACCTTGTACAGAATGCCATTCAGCATGGTATTATTTAACTAATTTCTTTTATCAACTGTTCATTTACCATAGCTGATTTAGCAAATGTTCACAGGAAGAGGAGAGTAAATACCTGATAAAGTATACAGGGATACTGAACTGTAGATATACATTTCAGAGGCTCTAGAGGTTTTGCAATATCAAACTTTACAATGGACAAACGTATGTTTATCTTTCACATGAATGTCACCCAGCAGTCAAACTTCTCAGTCTGAGTCAGACTGACATCAACAATTCACAGACATCGTATGTACAATAGACTTCTACATTTTAAAAGCTTGTCGTATTTTATGTAGATACACATAGTAAATTTGGAATTATAGTCATCATTTCTTTTCTAGTTGAGAGTCAATAAAACATTTCCCACATGCACATTTGGTTAAACTTGTGCCCACTCATCTTATTATATTCAAAATATGGTACAACAGAAACCAGAGACCTTTACCCTATCAGTCCTTTGAATAAACTTCAACAAGGTTGCTTGCTACCTTTCTTTTCTCAACAGAAAATAAGTTAAATCTTTAACTATCCCTATTAGATAAATCATGGAATCACCCTAGTAACCCTCCTCTGAATTTTTTTCCTGTAAGTCAGTGTACTTTGTTAGAAAGACCAAAACTCTACATACTATTTCAAGTGAAGCCCATTTAGTGATTTAAAATTTAAACCCACCCTTTATTTTCAATTCATTTCTTTTGTTCAATCCAGTGTATTCATATGAATATTTTTCTTCACTTCCATTTTTTGTTTTCATTCTGTATAAGCATAAAATCCCTGAAAGTCAAGTTTGAAATTTTGAGCCATGACTTTTGTAATTATTTTTAGCTTTTATATACAGCTTATTTTACTTTGTTGTTGTTGTTTTCAATAAAACTCAAAATCCTCCACTTTACTAGAGTTAGAACATAATTTTTTCTTTTAAATTTAGCATTTTTCCTTTATTAGAATTTTAAGTTTTCTCTTCATTTATTTGGGAAAGGTTTTTGACAGGAGTTTAGAAATATGATACCAAATAGCTTATAAAACCTCAAAGTTTAACTTTGCAGCTAAAAAATCACCTATTAAAACAATACATTTTCATCGAAATAGGCCATAACTTGGACAGATTAGTTAGAAATTAATGATAACTGTTATATATATATATACATACACATTGCAATTCACTTTAAAATGGTGTGAACAGGTTACACACATATTTGTACAAAATAATTTTATAAACTTATTTAATTAACTTATTATCTGTAAAAATATCCTAATTCCTATACCAAAATTTCTAGAAACTATCTCCTTTTTATCTATACCAAGTGTGTGTAAATATATTATTAAGCTTATGGCAAGAAATATTAACAGTGATAGTACCCAAATGAAGAAACAATTCATTCTAATCATTATAAGTAATATACTATAGTATTATTACTTTGATTACTCCTTGTATTAAAAACCCTTGACTTTTAAGGAAAGGATAAACAAACAATACCTATTTCATGTAACATTATAGAATTCAGTGGTTTATCAGTTAATTGGAGGTAAAGATTGATATGTGATTAAGATCATAAATTATTGTAGTGTTGTCAGTTTTTAATACATACAGTTGACATAAAAACTTGACATTAGTCTCCATAACATTTACTAAGTTGAAGACAAAACAGAAATCTGGATTTGGACCTAACTATTAATTGTAAGTTACAAATGAATTGCCCAAGAACTGTCATCTGTTTGAAACACATAGTATTGGAATTAATGATAAAGTATCATATTTATTATATAATGTTGGCATGTTAGCAACAATTGACATATTTGTTCTCACTATGTATGTGGTGTTTTGTTGGAACAACTATTGTTAATTTTCTAACCATGTGCTTCTGAGTGTGAAGAACAAGACTTAGACTGGTGTCTTCTCTAGAAATTTTTTCATATGCTGTGTGTGAGAAAACAATCCCCTACAACTTCTGGAAATTCTTTTAACATATTGATCAGGTGACCTTTAGACAATGTAAGAATCTTAACCCATATACTCCATCTTTTGTCCAACACTGGCAGTATAATTTTCCCATAAGCTTTCAGTTCACTTCATACATATGAAATTACCTTTCCTTATATTTTACTAGCATGGTACTTACAAAATTCCCTAAAACCTTAACATCTTCATAATTTTCATTTAACCAAGACTCAATCATGCTAATGATGTTGAACATACTAATTACCACTTATGCTTCTAATTCCAACAACTTATTGCAAAGTTATTTACATGTTGTGGTAATATAACAGAAATTTAGTTTCTTTTTCAACTTTAGACTTTTTTTGAGTAGAAATATCTTTTAGTTCAGGCTCTGCTTCAAGTAAATGAAGAATTAATAGCAGATCCAGAGCCTGAAATTTTGACCGTAATGTGTTCCAACAGACTTACCTTTCAGTTTTAAAACATACATGCTAGGGGTACTACTAGATAAATAATGTGGCAGTTAAGCTCAGCCTTAGCTGTACCATTAGGAAAAGTTTGGTGCTTTTACTGTATCGAATATAATAACCCATTATGATTAATAGGTTGTTGCTTCTACAGTATCTTAGATTGAAATTGTCATTTTCACAAGGAGAATATATATAAGAATTACTTATCATTAACAAATGCATATCTAAGGAATCTCAAATCTGAAGTAACAGACAAGCTGAATATCAAACTTGCCAACTCAGTAATCAGTCCCAAACTGTAATGCACTAATCAATCATCTCTCTTCTATAAGACTAACCTAGCTCTTTGGTTATACCATTCAAAAGTCTTTCTACCCCAAAAAACAAATACAATAAAAAAATGTTGCCTACAACATTATCATGAAAGCAAAAAAATTCAAGATTAAATCGGATAATGCCTAACACTTCAAACTTTTATCTTCAGTACTAGGAAATCTTCCTGAAGTGGGTAATGTCATATTTTCTCACAATAAACTGCTAGTGAATAACATTCAAAAGCACTACAAGACTAGCAAAAAGTACAGAATTTTTAACTTCAGAAAATTCAATTCATGCTCATGTAACTTTTCGTGAATGATCAACAAACTGCAATGTAAAACAAACAGTGCAATTCAACATGCTTCTTCTAACACCACAGTTGGATGTTTAGCATTCCCACACTTCAATCCATGGTTACTGCCACATCCTTATTTCCTGCACCTTTGCTGACAACAACAAATGATCTTTATGTACTGTAGCTTTCTTAAGTGTATCGGGGTACTTTGGACATAAAGTTACATGATTTTTCAGTAATAATTAAGATAATTTGTCAATTTACAACTCCATGTGCAAAAGTGTAAAAACTTGAATCATAAGTAACTGAATATATCAAAACCATTTATTTAAATAAGCCATATACATTAATTCACATCAGCAAAACTCTTGCAGCTCTAATCCTAGAATTACTCATGGGTCACATATAGTTTCCATTGAATTTTTAAACACACTTTTCTAAATGATTTCATTGGTTGCAGGATTACTAATAATATGAATCACACACACACACAAAGAAAACTAAAACAACTTTAAAATTACAGTTAATCTCGGTAATTATTCCTGATGTGTCTTGTACATCTCACATAGAAAATGGGTGATTTCACATATTTTATTTGGTCAATTGTTTACATCAAATGTTTGTAGGAGGCAAAAACATATAATTATATGGACTCCACCAGTAATAAACAGTATAAAAAGATGTCAGGAATTTGAGGGTTAATAACTAATGTAGTTCAGCATTTGATTTGGTCTTAAAAGCTTTGTAGCTTACTTAAATTTTTCAATAAATTTTGCAACCTTGCTGTTTTTTCCTAATTTTACCAAACAGTTTATCAATATGTAAATATATAGTGTGTATGTGTTTCTGTAATAGCTATGAAAGTTTCCATGAAAATGTACTTCATGTAGGAAAGGTATAAATATTTAATAGAAGTTTTATAAGTTTTTAAACAAAGAATGATCCTTTTTTCAACAGTAAGTCTGCCAATAATTACGATATTTGTGTCCCCTTTTTCACAGTGTTTGTGTTTTCAGCTCGATTATATTTTACAGTTTTGTAGTTCATGTTGTATAGTATAAAGCTGCTTGTAATATGAATGTAACTTGTGTTTACTGAATGATGTGTAACATAAACTACTAGAGCCTATGTCAGTGTTAGTAGTACAGAAAGCGTGTCTGTGTAGGAATGTTAATGGTGTAGCAATATCTGTATCATAAATAATTACTTGATCAAGCATAGCAAGTTAATTTTTGAATGTTTTTATTTCATGTTAAATTCATGAATAATCCAAATTAAAGAAGGTGCTTTGTGAGGTCATTCATGAAAAGTTTGTAAATTTTGTATTATAGTAAGTTAGAGAATACATTTTTATTTTCATAATTAAGCACTTACATTACTGCATGACTTGTATTTATAAGTGAACTATTATTTCATTATAAACATTTCTAAAAAGTAACAGCAGCTGCAACATTATATTTTATTGTTCATTGTAGTCTCTTAATATCTAAAATCTACAGCATTCATTCCTAAACTACATGTACTTCTAGATAACATAATAATTTTATTCATTTTAAAAAATTAAAGCATATTTATTACATCCAGTATTTGTTTAATTTGGTCTTAATTAGATGTAAACATATACATTATATAAACTTGATTATATTTTTTTGCCTGTAAAATATATTTTGACTTCCAGTCCTAGTATATGAAGAAGTGGACAACACTAATGTGTAACTACTGAAAAATAATGTACTGCCATGTGATTTATTGAACAACAGTTATCTGGTTCATTATAAGATAGAATTGAAGTATTCTGTGTGTATAAAAGGTCTTGTAACCCTGCTCTAAGTTTTCCAGTGAAAGCTTAAAAACTGTTTCAAGTACTCATAATGTATAAATGACATAAGTTGCTAAGTTTAACTCCCAAAACGTTTAAAATATTAATATTTTTAAAAGATAATTTTCTTATAGCTGATAGCCAAATTAGTATACCTGTAAATGAGAAAAAATTATTTAGTGATTGGAGTTGGTATTGGATAACCTTAGAGACTAAATTATTGATGGTAAATTTCTTGCATAACTACTGACTAATTTACTGTTTAAGCTTCTTTTCTTTTATGATGTTAAATTTGTTACTTAGAATAGGCTTAATATTACAATAGGACTGCAACTGTTACCTGTGTTTAACTACCCAGGAAAAAGTGAAACATCACCAATTGTTGTAGGGTACCCAAAAACTAGCAAGATAGAGTGTATTATATCTAAATAAATATATTTTGTTTTTTCTTTATAAGTTCCTAAAATTTGTATGAAGAATTTTACATAACAATTGTTAGTTTGTAATTGATGTGTATGTCAAATTTATCTGTATTTAACTGTTTTTAAGTTTTTCAAACACAGTATTTAAGCTGTTGCTCACAAAAGTGAACTAGCATGGATTTTTGATTAAATTTTCTTTTAAATGAAATGTGTCAGTGATGCACATATGACTTTGTTAGCATTTCATGCCACTTTCTTGAAAGTATATCACACATTTCTGTGCATCTACCATATTCTGCTGAGGTATTTATTTGTTCTACCTCATAATCCTCTCGTATGTATTTGCTAGTTAATTTTTTTCATAAGTGTAAAAAAATCATATTGAGTTTAGTTTTTCAATATTTTGTAACTCATAACTCAGGTGATACTTTTGTGAGATCCTGATTATATTCTGTTTTAATTATTCTACAAATATTATAACACCAACTTATTAAAACTGTAAACCTCTACATGTCAAAACCACTAACTTTTGAATAGCAATACATCAACTCTCTGACTCATTTAAAAATATTTTAACACCTGCCACACGAGCCAGCCCAGCATCTTTTATTACTGAGCTTAGGAGTCATTCTGGAAATGGATTTATGATTATTTCAATAGATCTTGATAAATGAAGCTCAGCACAACTTCTAAAGTGAAAAAAAAAGCTAAATACTAATGAAAATATGACATGATGATATCTATATGTAGGGGGTCCCAGAGAATTATAGTTCTTTCCCACGGAAGTGTGTAAATGTGAAATCGCAGATTCAAATAAATAGATCTTACATAAACAAAATACTACTTATTGTACACCAAAAAACTAATGAAAAGTTCTAAAGTACTTCTACATGCTGAATTTGCATGATATATTTCAAGGCAACTGTACTCCCACTGATTGTAAATCTGTTTTTAAAACATCACAAGGATCACTAAATGCATCATCCTCCACTTGTCAGTGATCAGCAAAAAAATGTTAAAACCAAAACCATTGTTTTACTTCAAATTACCTGAACCAATAAGGATCAGTGATACATGAAACAATAGCTCTCTTCATGCTCTACTTTGGTCTGGCTAGTTTCATTGGATCTGAAAACATTTACTATGAGAACACAGAAACAAAACTTTAAAACCATTTAAAATTCTTTTTAACCATTTAATTTTTAGAAAAAAAGGCTATATAATAAACTTTGTGGTGTAGATTACATAATGCATAAACTAATACATAGATGTTTCTGTCCAATTTGAACCAACAGTTTGTCGAAAAATGATGAATGGGGATTGTAAGCATCCCGTTCATTGTCCTGGCAACTGCTTGCTCTATGTCATATCATTTGGTGTAAACAAACTAAGTTGTCTTGACAACTGTTTGCTATATGTCATATTGTTTGGTGTGACTACAGCGAAAGAAAGTGTACTACAATAGTCTATGATAAAAGTGGTATAAATGTTGTATCAATTACATCCTGACATGATGTTGAACAGGTAGAGGTTACTACTGATATGTAACTGGTATTTCAAGTTTACAACCAATGTGATTACAGTCTCTCCTGTTCTTTCATGGGTACATAGGTAAGCTCGTACTTCATTATTAACATTTGGTTATTTACAATTTTCTTTTCATTTATCCATATAATATGAATACATGTGTATGGGTTTAAAACTGATAGACTTTATTAAGACTACATTTTACCTAACCTTGACCTGGGTGTCACGCAGTATCAGGTTAACAGGTAAAGCGATAAATCACTATCATTTTGTTAACATTGTTCCAATGGAAAGGTAGTGTGGAGCAAAAGGTTGATTTACAGCTACAGTTTTTAATTGTTTTTCATTAATTATTAACTGCATCATTGAATTTGCAGTGTAAACCTACTAATTTGTGACTGTGTAATCAAATGGTGTGTGAATTGCTTTATTATTTTCATTATTTAAAAATCACAAAAAACCCCTACTATATGGATTGTACTATGGAGGTACCATACTAGGCATTATACTATTTTTCGTATATTTATTCTTCATTGCAGAAATGTTATTATTAATTTGAGAAACACTAGGGACATCATCTTTTACTGCATTGCGCAACTGCTTCAACTTCAACACTGCATCCATGGACTTTAACTGTGCTGTTAGTTTGAAAAGTATTGAAACTAATTATATGATTCCAACCCCCCCTTTTGAAGATAATGATACTATTCTGTCTGGCTTGTTTTGTTTTATGTTTTGCTATCATTGCAGTAATCAATTGATGAATCTCCAATTCAGTTGGTATGTCAAATTGATTGGAATGTTTTCAAATAAATCCTTCCCTCATCCGACCTGGACCCACAGATTAGCTTAATTTCTACACTTAAACTAGCACAATCACATCTAGAACATTTCAAGCATTTTTCGTGCTGCGTCTTTTTACTTTACATTTACAAGTTACTTTTCCATGTTGGCTCTCATGGTCTCAGTTTAGGTCACAGGCCCAGTCATAGGTCTGGTCCAGTGACTTAGACCATGATAATAGTGCCAAAAATCTTCATTTTATCTAATCAAAGCAATCCAAACATTTCCTGAAGGACATGTTTTTTTGGATTCATATCAAAATGCCAAGCTGGCTCATTTGGCAGGTGCTAAATTTTAAAACATTTAATTACATAGTCTAGAAGAAGCTTTAAACTTAAAAGAAATAATTTACGAAAGATGGCCAATTGTCTTTTGAATAAATTTTCAATTTTGATTTGCTTAAATAAAAGTTTCTTTTTTCCATTTTAAACTGTACAGTTTCAAGTATTGCCCTATGAATATAAAAAATAAAATAATCTTGAAATGGATTATATAGTACTTTTAACTGCAGTGTATCTTTAGGGTATGCAATATATTTTACATTTGTTATAATTTTTGTGCCTTTTTTTTTCAATTGTAGTAAATTAGTGATTATATGATAAAATTGCACATTCTCTTTACAACTTTTATTTACCTTGCATTTGTACCAGGTTCGAATTGTTTCTGATTTCGTACTGCACGCTCCACCTGGGGAATTTAATGAAGTTTTTAATGGTAAGACTAAATTTACAATGTATATGTATTGAATTAAATTGTACAATTTTTTTAATAGTAAATATATGCTACATCCTCTATTAGAAACCTTGTACATATCTGTGTTTATGTATAGAGACTTAATTTGTTACTCTTAGCCTCATTCAGTTGAAAATGTTTTGTCTCCAAATAACATATAGTTAGCTAAAAATACTCATCTTAATTTTTTACAGTGAACATGTGTTTTTGAACTAGTTAGATTAGAAATCAAATTCCCTAAGATTTTATTTAACATGTTAAAATGAACAGAATCCAAAATGTTGTTTCTCTGAAAGAAATTACATTTTTGTCATTATATTTAGGTCATATATACTGTATTATGTAGTAGTGCATTTATTTTAAAAACTTGAATATTATATTACCTACAAACTGAAGATGATTTGTTGCTACCCGGTTATGTTCAACTTTGGCTAGCAGTAACAGAGTATTGATGTTTTTGTTTTGTTTTTCTACAGAAAGGAAAATACAAATAAATTTGTGCCTAAAAATGCTCCTTGACACAAATAGTTACAAAACTATTGCTACCAATATGATTAATTTAGACCAGATTTCATAATTACAGTATTAATGTTCTTCACCATATATTTTTTTTTTTACTGTAGTTATACAACTTGGCTGTATTGCTCTACAGCATCAAACATGATTTAATATTGATTTACAGTGAGGAAAAGTTAAAGTTAGTACTATATTTAAGTATCAGGTGTCTCAATAGTAGTTCACATGGTTTATAGAGCTTATGTTCATGATAAAAGCTAGGTTCATGATGAAGCTCAAATTAAGTTTAAGTCTTTGAAAATATCATGTCAAAAACATGACAAGTTTAACCTGTAATGCTGGATATGAACTTTTATCTTTTTTTAAATACGGTATTCTAAAATTAATTATTTCTCCAGAGAGATGTGAAAAGTTTAAAACATGCAAATGTACTCCTTATAGTTAGATTAATAAATGTATTTTTTATACTAGTCAATAGATTCGTGAAAGTTATTTAGAAGTAGTGTATGTGTTTACTAGTCTCCTCACCTGTATGTGTGCAGATAAATATTGTGAATGAATCATCATTTTTTGTGCCCCGTACAACAGCGAGACACTTAACTGTTGTGAAATAAGCAAAACATCCATTTTTGTACCTGAAATAGATGATTCTAAAGTACTCTACATGAAGAAAACTAAATTTTTAATAAAATCTAGACTATTTTGTTAACCTAAACCAATGTGTTTGAAACAGAGACATACAAAACACGTTTTTGCTTATATCATTGTGTAATCGGAGGGCCTTGGGATATATAATATGTCAGGAGCTGTAAATAAAAACAATACTTTTGTGATAATGTTAAAATCATACTTAATCATTGTAAAAAATTCTACTGTTCTGGGTGGTCAGTGTCCTCTTATAGGTTTGTAGAGTTCCATATTTTTTGTGGTTTTTAACAAACATTGGAAGGTTCAAGTAAATAACCATTTAAGGCCCTTCAACCAGTGTTAATAATCTTTAAGAATGTACATTAACAAAACCATTGTAGATTGTCTCTCAATCCCATTAATTTTTTTGTAGGTAAAACTTAATTTATATATGTATGAATTTGTTCTGGTAAAACTAACTGAAGTATTCATAAAAACATCCTATGATTTTCAACACAAAACTAAAGTCAAGGAAATGTTGATGTTTGAAAACACTTTTTATTTCATAGAATCACATCACAACTTATTTACAGTAAACATAATCACAAGTGTGAAAAAAAAAATATTTTTAACTTTTATTATTAGATCTGGAAATTTACCTGATTGATTACCTTGGAGTAAGATATTCATCAGTGAGTGCCATGCCATGTGAAATAATCAATTAATCGAAATTAGTGTTTTCTTTTATTACTATTTTAGATTATTACAAATATACAAGTCTCATTTTAGAACAATTGGTTAATTGAATGCAATTGATTAATGAGATAAAAAATGAATCAATTAGCAATTCCACTAATTGCCTATCTTTAATTGTGATTGGTTTTGTTGTAATGTGCATTTTTCTAACATTAAAATCTAAAGTTGTACAAAAAGCATTAATGTGAAAAATTATGTGATTTTTATTTGCTTAGAAGGTGTATGTTGATGTTCTGAAATAGATTGGTCTAATACTGTTGGAGTTTAATTGCTTCCAGAATGCTTATAACATTATATGTATATACGATTCCCATAATTGGTAATTGAGTGAAATAAGTTTTGAAACTTTGTTGTCATATTTTATTATTAATCTCCTGTAATGAGCAAGAAAAGTTCTGGCTTGATAATCAATCTGCCAGTTGGAACTATGGGTCTCAGTTTTAGTACCAGGATATTGAGATAATCCATCATAATGCTAATGAGCACATTGTTTCTATTTGTTTGTTGATCAGTCAGATCATGTGTAGTCTTAGAAATCTGTATAGTTGGATATGAATTTTAACATATAATTTCAGATGTGCGACTTCTTTTGAATAATGACACCCTCCTTAAGGAAGGAGCATCTGGGTAAGATGGGTTTTTTTTTTTTTGGAAAAAATTTTAATGATGTTTTAAAAAGGCTAAAAATAGCTTTAGCATATATTTTATTGTAGATTGTATAATGTATGAAAGATACTTAAAAATATATATCAAAGACAGATAGGAAACTAATTTTTAATGCAAAAAATTTTACTTCCACTCCCAATTTAATTATTTTTTGTGATAAATATGCTCTTATACTATCCATAATAGATATTGTAAGATTGGACAATTTCTATAAGATTTATTTAGAGATTTGATTTTACAGTTTTCACATGTGTATTTAATCTCAAGAACCAAAGAACTAGTTTATTATGGATTAAGTATTTTTTACATATAGCATTTCTATTAAAACAAACCGTGGAGGGCATGGAATTACATTATGCCTCTTATATGTGCATGTCACTTGCAAGACCCATGTATTATTAGTCATAGTTGTTCTCATGATAAAAGTTTGAGCTTTAACTATTAAAATGGTTTATGTAGGTGGAAATAAAACTAACCTTTTAAGGAGACCAGAGAATTATTGTTAAAACCCAGAATATCCTTATATGGCAGTTGAGTTTTCTATTTCATACTTAAAATTAAAGAAAAATATTCATTCATGTGATGTGGAGATTTTGATGAAATGAGTAGTTATATTCCTTTTCTTGTGTTTACTTAAGAATAAATTTATTTAGAAATTTCCAAGGTATGTATCATAAAAACATTTCCTTATTCAACATGAAAAAAGAACATGGTAAGAATTATCTCTATAATTATCAGGAATGTCTATACACTGTTGAATTTTTTTTGTGAACATTTAGACTTTGTTATTAGTGAGGTACTGATCTAATAACTGTTTGGTGGTGTTGACACAAAGCCTTTGATCACATTTCACAATGGATATGGAGCATATGGTAACTGTAAGAAGATATTCAAAAGTAATATGATTGTGGTTGAAATATTTACCAGTTTCAAGTTTCAAACAAGTAATGAACTATACAAAATGATCTTGGAAAAACACATGAATTCAAAAATAAATTTCAGACAAAAATACAAAACCCTACAACCTGAATGCTTTGAAAAGGAGGGCTTTTCTCTATGACGAGCAAACTGATGGAAAAAGATCCACCTTTCAAAAGCACCAGAGTTATAGAGCTTTGAATTTATGCACATAAAAACATGTACATTTATGTTTTATTATGTATCTTTAAAATAAAACATTTTACTGGAAAGTTGTTTATCTATAAATGTACAGTGAAAGAGTTAAACATGTCATTTCTCTAGTTTTACATGGAAGGGTTTATATTAACTTGTTTATTATGTAAGATTCATGTAATTAATGATTTTAGTTAATTTCTGTTAATGTCTTATTAAAAGTTTTTTTATTTTGATGAACATTTTTTCAGTGCATTTGCTCAATATAACAAAGATCAGCTTACTCCCGTGAGAATAGATGGTTCGAAATATACAGTAAGTAACTATGTTATTTTAGCATTTTTGTACTGTCATAAATTAGCTGTGAAAATGTTGTTTTTGTATGCATCTTTTTTAAAGTCATAAACAAAATTCTACTGATTAATTAGAGAGTTAATGCATTAATTCTCTTAACACAGGGTCGGTTGAACTGACCGACCTCGTAACCACTTTGTACTCATTATAGTTCCCATATTATAATTTTAAATAAAGTATGTGTATCTACACAAAGTTTGGCAGATTTTAGTAAAATTACATGTCATTTGTAAACAAAAAATCAGTTTTTTAATGAAATATTTTTACTAAAGATTTGTCCGTGAATATATCGAATCGTTTTTTTTACTAGTCTGAGAGCAAAGTGAATTTTAAATTAAGATTAAAAATACTTTTCTTTGTGTAACCTCCTAAACAAATATAAAACTTTTGTTTTCAGTAAAACTTTATATTTTATCTGTTTTTACCTCTATTCTAATAATATATTTGATTCTTCAACCAGTAGACAAATCATCAAAGTATAATGAAAAGTTGTAAAATCAGAAGTAAAATGAGCAACTGTGCCCTTTATTTATTATTGGTCACAAAGTGTCAAAATACTTCTCTTGAGAGTTTGAACTGCTAAACATTTCCCATTTATTTTCTATGTTTATTTTCCTGTCAATGACTGAAGTAGAAATCCGCTGAAAATAAAGCAACAAATCACCATTTGTGTCATTAGGCTGTTTACATGACACTGTAATAAAATACTCTAAAGAGCAACAAAGCATGTGCAAAGAAATAAGCTGACTTGACCCCTACTTATATATCCTACAGTGTTTACAACAAGAATTCCCCAAAGTAATAAGATTGCACTTTGAATCTATGAAATTGTTTATTATATGGTTCAGAGCCAATCCAATAAATGTTCTAAGTGTTTGGGTATTGGTCATTCCTCTGTGCACATGATAATAAAATCCTATTTCTCTTTCTGTGAACTTATTTACCAACCAGTAAATACTATTTATTCTCAAATGTTTAAATTTTAGTTAATTTTTAGTAAAATGTAGAAGAATAAATAAAAAATACATTGAAAAACAAAGATTTCGAGTACTCACAGTGTTGTGAGATTTTTGTGTTCATGCATCGCACGTGCTAAGCTTCATTTATTCTTCTGTAAGCTTTAAATATACAATATAGAAAAACAAAATAATTATGAACTTAGTATATTAGTGCACACACAACCCTTGTAATTTATCTAAAAAAGCTATATATGACTGAAAAAATCTCATTTGTTATCTTAGTCATCACACTTCAATGGTTTGGGGAAAATTATGACTTTCTCCTTCACGCTGTTTACAAACTGTCAGACTTACATACACAGGAAACTGCTCTTTCTCTTGGTAGTAAACACTTAGTCAAAAGAAGTAGGTGGGACTAGACAAGAGGTTTCAAAAGAATGGAGTAGTGGGAGGAGTCACTCTTATTACATGGCTAAATAAATTGACATCTCAGCAAATCAAAGAGGTGGGAGGTTCTTATTTTATACTTCAGCTTGTTTATATTTGAAATTTGAGTTTCTAATTCACTAACCACTGTACACATTGTATGGTAGGTGTAATAAAATATAAACTGAGCAATAAAATTTTAGGTGATATATGACAAACAAAAATTGATATTCAGCAATTTTTCTCTACATTTCCTTTTAAATTAAGAAATTAAAACATATATAATATTACAATTTGAATTATAAACTGCATTGTCATGTCATTTCCATTGACATTAGTAATTGTAAAGTTATTTAATAAAATGTTGAAAATAACTAAAAGGTCCCGATGTGCTCTTTAACTCTTTCAGCTTGGTCCCTGGGACCAACCTTATAACCATTTTGTGATTGTTATAGTTTTCATGCTATAACTTTTAAATTAGTAACCATATGTTCACGAAATTTGGCAGATTATCAGTAAACATTACGAGGCTTTCATACGTAAAATACTAATTTTTTTTTAATATGTCTTAAGGTTTGTTAAGAAATGTTTTTCTCATGCCTTTTTTTCTTTTTGCTTATCCAATATTTTTAAGATTAAAAGTACTTTTATGCATCAGAAAATTTTCAAATTTTAAATGTGAAATCTTTATAATGTCCAGATAGTTATCATACATTTTTTATGAAAAAACTATTTTGTCTGTTATTTTCACTAATGAATCTCTGTACAGGTTTGGTCGATCTGACCAATCTCGTAACCACCATAAAAAATTAGGAAATAAATATAAATTATGCCTCTTTCATTCTAGAATGACTACAAATTATAACACAAACACACATATTTAGACTAAATAGCTTAAACATTATACATTTATATATATATTTATTATTTTTATTATATTGACCTTTCAGCCGTGCCTGGCTAATAATACAGAAGTTACAATGATGCGGTGCACATGCACTCATGTTACCACATCTAATAATATAAAACTGGCCTTCAGTCTTTACAAAGTGACCTGTGTTTTGGTGGACTAGTATTTTGTAAAATTTAGTCACATTTCAATTATTATACATAATATATGTATATAGATAATTACTATTTACAAATAAGTTCTTAAACTTAAACAGTAAATAAAGAAGTAAAGCAAACAATTATCTTTTCTTGTTATGTCCTTTGTACTCGTTTGCTGCTTGACAAAGGTTATGGAGTCTTATAAAATTTTGCACATGGAGGACGTGAAATGAATGAATTTTTTTAGGTTTTATATACATTTGAAATAACTAAAAGATCATAAATTACTATATAATTACCATAGAATTTATCAAGCTTAGTAACTAAGCTGTATTTGGGTCTAAAAAAATATAAAATTTCGAGCAGACTAATGGGTTGAAGATTTGTATCTAAAGAATGAGGTGATGTTGTAATAATTGAAAATGGCTGAGAAAACCACTAGTGGGACATTCTGAGCTTTCGATTGG